GTTTGAAATTCGTGATTTCTCGAAAATCGGAAGTGCTACGTTACTCAAATCCGGTTTGTAGTCTTATCAGACTATTCTTAACTTATAACTTAAATATTCTCTTTATCTATCTCTTACGGTTTGGCCGCTGAAACAGCACCACAGACGGACGGACTTGTCTAATAGATAAGAGATATTATATCCATACCTGCAGACAGGTGACGTTGGCGCAGAAGAATGGCGCGAACTTGGATCCGCAGCGTGCGCCCGCGCACTCGTCGCACATCTGGTCGTCCAGCACGTACGGCTTTACCTGCGATGAGAGAGAAAAATAGCTTGTTTTATTTAAAGTTTAATTTAATTTTAATTTATTTTTAAGCATTTAACTGCTAGATGTTTAAATCTAAAGAAAAGTTTACTAGAAAAAAATCCACGCGGACCAGACAGCGGACGGGACTCGAACCAAGAACCCAGAAAAAAAAAATTTAGGATTTTTTTCTAGTAAACTTTTCTTTAGATTTAAACATCTAGCAGTTAAATGCTTAAAAATAAATAAAAACATAACTATAATTGCTGTTTCTTCTTTCAAATGTTTAATACTTGAAAAAGTATTCATTTCACATTGTGGGTTACCTACAATGCGAAGAGATGGCGCTGCCTTGCAGCTTAAGGCTAGGAAAATTTCGACGCGGCGAATAGGGCCGTGGTAGCATAATGGTCAGTGCATTCGCTCGGATTGCGAAAGGTGAGGGTTCGAGTCCCGTCCGCTGCCTGGTCCGCGTGGATTTTTTTCTAGTAAACTTTAGTTTTAATTTGTTTTTTACTTTTCTATGTTTGTAGACTTAAAAAAAAACACGTATTTTAAGCGATACCTTTCATTTGATACCCAAAATTGTAGGAAAGCACGAAAATCTTTTAGAATAGTTAGGTATAGTAGATAGTTTTTATGATCCACACTAAGTAGCTCATATTCTATATCGCCATTACATTTCATCTCCTACGCCTTTACTGGTTGACTGGTAGAGAATACCTATGGCATTAAGTCAGCCATTTACTGTTTTTATGGTAATAAAGAATAAATAAATAAAAAACTTAGCCCGCCATCTTTGTAAGTTCGCCATATTGGATACTATATTTTTCAAGTTATTCTCGGCAAGTTCTTTCATTTAATGTCCATATTGTATGAATGCATCATAAATAACTAGTCCGCCATCTTGTTTGTTCCGCCATATTGGATTTAGAATAACGTCACAAATCTAACCATGCATTGTCATCCAAATAAGCGTGGGTACAAAATTTCAGCTCAATCGAATGAAGATATCTGCTTCAAAATTGACTTGCAAGATTCCACCTGAACAAACATGCATACATTGCAAGTGAAAAGCTTTTAAATACGGGTTTAAAGGTCACCTCCGATGAGAAAGATAAATATGGTTAAGGCAGGATTTGTGATCTGTGATTGTAAACCGTTTATTCGGAGTGTGAAACTTTAGCAAAATTTTTGACGACCTACGTGGCCGAGTGGTTTGTACTGTACCGGGTTTCATGGTGACACCGACTCGATAGGTCCCAGGGTTCGAATCCCGGTGGGAGCAGATGTTTGTGTGATGAATACGAGCATTTGCATTCCAGTCATGGATGTTTAATATGTATTTCTATATAAATATACTTATATATGTACTGTATATGTATTCTATCCGTTACCCTAGTATCCTATAACACAAGCCTTACAGTGCTTACTTTGGGGCTAGGCTAATTGGTGTGAGTGTTAGAAACATTTATTTATTATTATTATTATTATATGCCTTGAGCAAAATGATACTAAAGCCCCGATGACACGGGGCGAGTTTACAAGCTACAAGCCAGCGAGTTCACTGGCAGCTTGATCATAGTTTTCGTAATTGTAAATTATGTTTCCATGTCCATTTTGGTGAAAAGTAACCAAGTATACTTAAAATTTAAGAAGACACAAATGATGTAATGGTAGAATTGAAACACTGTTTATTTGTATTGAAACGAAAACAATAAAATCAGTACCCTTAGTACGAGTGCGAGCTTACGAAAACTATCATAGTTTTCGTAATTGTAAAACTCTTACTAAGGGTACTGTAAGTCGACTATTTTATTTTATTTATTTATTTAAACTTTATTGCCAACATAAGCAAACAGCGGACTTAATGCCAAAGGCATTCTCTACCAGTCAACCAGTATGAGTGTTGGAGACAAATAGTATGGCGATAGGGCAAAGTTGAAAATTAAAACTATTCGATTGTAACTTGGACTCACTCGCTAGCTTTTAAACTCGCCGACTAGCAGTTCGTAAACTAGTCCCGTATCATCGAGGCTTTAGCAAGTGGTTCTAAACAACTTTGAAAATGTAAATAGCAGTTTGATTCCTCATCTCCCGTCACACGGAGCCAAACACTAAGAAAACGTGTTTTTTACGGAAGGTGTGTTATGCAAAAGATGCATTTGGAGAAAATTATGTTGCGATAGGTACAATTTGCAAAAGGACGCTGGATTTGGAGTAAATAATGTTGCGAAACGTAGCATAGGGTATTTGACAAGTTTTAGAAAACGATCTCACCTTATTGACTAATGTTTATGGAGTCCGTAAAAAGTGGATATTCATCATTCTGTTGTGTATTTCAGTAAAAATAACCAAATCAAAAACTCCATCTTCAAGCTGCCGCGAAAACGATTCTCTGGACCATATTGTGCAGAGAATCGTTTTCGCGGCGCGCGTCTTACTAGTGTGTGACGTCACACGACTGTTATTAAAACGTCAAACGATAGAATGTAATGTCACCTTAATCGGAAGTTTACTTGCGTGTGACGTTATTTTAGGCTCCGCCAATCCCAAGCGTTTTGGGTCACGTGACAATAGATAAGAAAACTATATCTTTTTCGTGGGTTTTTAGTATTTTTTTTTTTAAATAGTAAAAACCTCTACCAATATTCATTCTAAACACAGATGCTATCAATTGGCATTTTATTTTTAATACTGTCAAATGCCCTATTATTTGCAAAAGGATGGTGGATTTGGAGAAAATTATGTTGCAAGATGTTGTACTTGTTTTTAATAGCTGTTGGTTTTTACACAATTAAATAAATATTACCTCTACACGCTTGTCAATATCTCCATGCTGTAGTTGAACGAATCTCGCAGAGATAGCGGCGATGTAGGACTGTTGGTTGGAGAACGCCACGCGGCCGGCGCCCTGGGAAGAAACAAACAAACGTATGATTAAAGACATCATCATCAGCCTATAAATGTCCCCACTGCTGGGGCATAGGCCTTCCCTATGGATGGAATAGGGAGATTGGGCCATGACCCACCACGCGGGCCCAGTGCGCATTGGCAGGTGCTAACGACTGCAGATGTAGCCGGGACCAACGGCTTAACGTGCCTTCCGAAGCACGGAGGAAGTCGAGATAGAAGATATTTGGTCACCCATCCAATGACCGACCACTGCGAAAGTTGCTGAACTTCAACGAGCGCAGCCGAACGCGCTAACCACGTGCGCCATCGAGCTCCTCAGTTAAAGACAATTAGATTTTACTAGCAAACCAGTGAACCAAATGTTCACCAAAAAAAAAATGTATTTAATTAATTGAGAACTTCGGAGATTTTGTGTGGTTTCGTTTGAAATAGAAATCACGTGATTTCTCGAAAACCGGAAGTGCTACGTTACTCACATCCGGTTTGTAGTCTTATCAGACTATTCTTAACTTATAACTTAAACATTCTCTATATCTATCTCTTACGGTTTGGCCGCTGAAACAGCACCACGGACGGACGGACGGACTTGTCTATTAGATAAGAGATTATAGGAATTCTTTTAGTGGCAAATGAACAAAGATGATTGTAACATTTTGGAATGCAAATGAATTGAAGTGGACCGCTTGGGTTTAATTGTAGGCATTCTTAATAATTAAGCTTAATATTTCTAGATGTTTAAAGAAAATTAACTACATTATTAGAACAATGTATGACAAAGTGAAAGGTAGGTACTAACATACCCCTCGTAACATACGTCAGTGTATAGCGTCGCCTAAGCAAATGTGTGTATGAATCAATGCGAACATTTAAAGGTTTAGTAGTTAAAGGGAGTTAGTAATGGATGTTTACTATAATAAGACTTACAGTGCTTTCCTTGCAGCTATGTTGATTGGTGTTAAAAATATTTAGGGGTGATGACGGGGTACAGTAAACGAAATTCTATTTAGTCCGTCAGTTAGATTGATCGAAAAATAATGGACACGTATTTTTTCTTTGGGCAATCAACCAAAAAATGACAAAGTATAACTTTGTCAAAATTTGGGAGTAGGGGCTCGTGACGTCACTTTTGAGTGAATTTTCACTTATAAGTGTACTCAAACGTGACGTCATGCGACTTTTCAAATCAATATATGTCTGCAATGTTTATATTATGTGAAAAAAGAAAAAAATACGTGTCCAATACTTTTTGATAATCTACCTGATAAACGAAGAAAAAAAATAGTCATCATCCCTATTAAATCACAGACAGAAGTTGTCCGTCCGGTAGATACCTATGTCTACCAATCGAATTCACACACAAAGTTTGATACAGCCCAGACGCAAATATAACTGCTTTGTTTCCACAGATACATTATATGAAATTCGACCATTATAATATATACTTTTATTATATTTTCCACTAGCGGCCGCGGAGTTAGTTAGAAATAAAGGTTCACTGCTCGTTCCCCGTAAGTGATAGCGTGATAATATGTAGCCTATATGTTGACCCGACTTCTTAATAATATTCGTGCCAAATTTGAAATAAATCCATGCAGTACTTTTTGAGTTTATCCCGGACATACAGACGAACAGACAAAAATTCTAAAACTATATTTTTGGCTTCGATATAATTATATCGAATATCGATTGTATGTCACACCCCAAGTATTCTTTTAAAAAAATATTCAATGTACAGTTTTGACTTTACTACCATTTTATTATATGTATAGATAAAAATCTTTCGAAAAAACAACTTAGGTCAGCAGGAATCATATGGCGTAATTATGTCTCTTACCTTCGGATACTTGAGTTCTGGGTCTGTGTCGATACCGGCGTAGCACACGCCGCCGTACAACCGGTCCATGATCATGGCCAGCTCCACTGCAACAAAACAGAGTCGGTGTTAGTTAGGGAGGTGGCAGAGCGTATAGGGTACATCACATCATTCAATTCAATTTATTACACTCGTGTGGTTATATAGATGGTTACAAGTTACAAAATGGATCAAGTACCTAAAATGAACCCTGTCAGGGTATCGCAATATAGTAGTGTCTTAAATAAATAATAAATAATTACATGAGAATTTAATTAATGAACTATTATATATAGGTACATGAAAAACTCATTTATATTAAATAACTTTATTTCTCTTCATCATCTTAACCTCAAGTTAAGCTTTTCTAGTTACGTGATATTTAGTTTGGTTGAGTACTGTTATTTGATGGTGTAAAAGCTTATTTGTCACTGGAGCGGAGAAACGAAGAAAAAAGCGTAGAGGAAAGGCTATAACATGCTGTAATGTGAAGTCTTAAGAGCGGACGCGAGCTGAGAGACATTTGAGAAAAAGGTATTTAAAAAAGTTATTGCTGTCACGCATTGCCAAATACCGTGCGATAACAGAAACGCTGAAAATTGCGTATAAAAATTGCAAAATCGAGGTTTGGCTCTCGACGATTTCCTCCTCGAAAATTAAATATTCTCCAGCCTTCAAAGGACGCGGCACTCCGCCCACAGACGCGGTCTTGCGCGGATCGAGGGGCATGCTGGCGTCGAGCACGAAGTGTTATTTAGAGAGTGTAGCGTAGAGTTAAAGGTAGCGAATGATGGAGTGAACGGTAGGGTGAATGGTAGATTGAATCGTAGAATGAAGTGAGGCTGGAAATGTTGTGACGGCTGGAATGTAGTGTAATGCAAAGATTGTAGTGCAGTTCGGCGAGTGTGTAAAGTCAAGGATAGAGTGTCCTATACTATGATGGTGTAAAATGACTATAATTAAAAAATGACTAAGTAAAATTTATCGTAGAGTATAGGGTATGATACAGCATGTGGTATAGTGTAGTTAAGTACCTAGAGTGAAGTAGGACGCGGCACTCCACCCACAGACGCGGTCTTGCGCGGATCGAGCGGCATGCTGGCGTCGAGCACGATGTGTTATTCAGAGAGTGTAGCGTAGAGTTAAGGGTAGAGGAATGATAGTGAAGTAGAGTGAAGTGAAGAGTGATGGCTAGAATGTAGTGTAATATAAAGATTGTAGTGAAGTTCGGCGAGTGTGTAAAGTCAAGGATAGATTGTCCTATACTATGAAGGTGTTAAGATGACTATAGTAGTAAAACTTATCTCCTAGAGTATAGAGTATAATACAGCATGTGGTGTAGTGTAGTTAAGTACCTAGAGTGAAGTGCAGTGGCAAAGTTGTAGTTCAGTAAATTTGTAGTGCAGAGTGAAGGCTAGAGCGTCAGTACGCTTTCAAAAGTAGTGAAATAGTGTGAAGGTAATGTGGTAGTGTTTTAACGTATCTATGAATAATATAAAGGTTAGAATATAGTGTAGTGTGTGATGTTTATAATACTCACCAGCCTTCAGTGTAATGTAGCGAAGTGTAGTTCAGTGAGTGTGTACAAAGGTAGATTATAGTATAGTATGAAGACTGGAGTTAAGTAAGTAAGGAATAATGTTTATAGTCCTTACCAGCCTTCAAAGGACGCGGCACTCCCCCCACAAACACGGTCTTGCGTGGGTCAAGCGGCATGCTGGCGTCCAGCACGAAGTCCGCGTCGGCCAGCTTCCACGGCCGAATCTGTACGGGCTTGTCGCGGATGGTGGGTGATGACACGCAGAGATATAGCTTGTCATCGTCCGTGATGCAGGCTTCCATTAGAGCTGCTACCGAGCTCTCGTCCTGATTCAGAGAAGATTATACTAACAATGTGTATCATTGTGACATAGTGAGGCCTGCGTCCCAGCAGTGAGGCCATTAATAGGCAATACCTGCATGCAATAGATTACTCTCTAGAAAGCGATATTGTTTGACTAACGGGTAGAAAGTGTGAATGTGATTAAGGGATCAAACGCTATTGATTTTATCTGACTGCTGGATAAGGAATACTCAGTTCATTTTCCCTTTCTAAAATAATGGGACTGTGAAATTGCATAAAAGACATGGCTAAGAAATTGCCCTTAACGTGTATAATTATTTCGCACTAGCCTAAAACATTATAATATTATTTTATTAATTTTAACGTGTTTATTATTTTCTTCCAACTTTCGTGAAATAATCATATTATAAAAGTATAAATTGGCATCATGTCTGTTTCAAAAATAAAAAGTTCCGTTTTACAAAAATAAATGAACAATAAATGTACAAAAAATAATTTGTGGAAGTATATCGAAATAAACAATATTAATTCCAAACTATTAAAAACTATGACATGTTTGATCCTATTTTTTATTATGACAAATCACTGAAGGCCTAAAATAATAGATTTTATTTTTCTGATCAGGCTGTAGACTGTATGATATGTATGATAATTATTCCTTTGATTTTTGCAAATGAACGAAATAAAACTTCACTGATTTCCTGTTAGGTAGACGACAACAAATTATTTGAATTTATTTTTGCATTCAAAATACTTGATGTGAAGTGTTAATCAGAGAAATGGGAGGAAAGATTCTAAGAAAATGCGAAATTGATGCCGCTGTAAATAATTGGCAACATCTTTTATCAAATGTAGTAGGAGTTCTGATAATTTTCAAGATTGTGACTATTAAAAGTTCTTGAGTCTTTTTTCATAGAAATTATAAATATTCAGCCATTCAGCAGTAAATATTACTAAGAACAATATTTATACATTGCTAGGACAATTGCTCATACAAAATTTTAGCATGTCCTTTACTTTTATTATTTTTGTTTCCGTTCCGTTTTGAAGTTACTAACATCTAAAGTTACACAGTGACTTCAGTTTAAGTAACATAAGTTTTAGTAAGATAATGGTATCGATTCTGGCATGATTCTCTAAAGTTAAACTTAAATTTGATAACAGTTTACCCCTGTCATTCTTTATACAGAATGAAAAGGACAGACTGTTGTCAAATTAAAGTTTAGCTTTAGAGAATCATGCCAGAATCGCCACCAATAACGACTTGAGACGTAAGTCAATGCGGGAAGAAAACTGCCAATTCTCGCCGCTTGTAGCGCTGTTTACGAATGCCATGCCATGACATCTGTCAAAATCTTAGTTCTCGTTATGTTTTGAATTTGTATTTTGCTTTCGTACAATGCGATGTATGGCAATTTGGTGTTATAAAAATGGCAATCTACTTTTCTAATAATGAGCAACTGAAAAACATAGCGTCCGCTTACTAATCATCATCAGTCTATTAATGTCCCCACTGCTGGGGCACAGGCCTTCCCTATGGATGGAATAGGGAGATTGGGCCATGACCCACCACGCGGACCCAGTACGGATTGGCGGGTGTTAACGACTGAAGATGCACGTGCCTTCCAAAGCACGGAAGAACTCGAGATAGAAGATTTTCGGTCACCCATCCAATGACCGACCACCGCGAAAGTTGCTTAACTTCAACGATCGCAGCCGAATGGGCTAACGAGCTGCGGCATCGAGCCCCTCGACCGCTTGGTCGACTTACTAATGGTCATATTATATCTGTTTATTGTCCGTTTACCATAAAAAAAAGACTTCTAAATGATAGTTTGACTCACCTGGAACAGTAGAAACGCGTAACCCTTGGGCGGAAAGTAACTCTTGCTCTCTGCTTTGTGCGGCCAGTCCACCACCAGAGGCCCGAACCGGCGGAACGATGAGGTTATCTCGTCTGGAACAACATTTACACATCTCATCTAATATATAAAATTCTCGTGTCGCGGTGTTTGTGGTTAAACTCCTCCGAAACGGCTTTCCCGATTCTCATGAAATTTTGTGTGCATATTGGGTAGGTCTGAGAATTGGACAACATCTATTTTTCATCCCCCTAAATGTTAAGGGTAATCCACCCCTAATTTTATTTTCAATTATAGATATATATTTTTTTATGATACAGCATTAGTAAATAAAAAATAATAAAATAATATAATTAGTAACTACATATAACCCTAAATATTTACCATTCTACCACCAATCCCTATTTTTTTATGGCGGTACGAAGTTCGCTGGGTCAGCTAGTCTAATATATAAAATTCTCGTGTCGCGGTGTTTGTGGTTAAACTCCTCCGAAACGGCTTTCCCGATTCTCATGAAATTTTGTGTGCATATTGGGTAAGTCTGAGAATTGGACAAAATCTATTTTTCATCCCCCTAAATGTTAAGGGTAATCCACCCCTAATTTTTTTTTTCAAGTTTAGATATATTTTTTTTAATTTTTTTATGATACAGCATTAGTAAATGCATATAACCCTGAATTTTCACCCTTCTATCACCAACCCTTATTTTTTTTATGGCGGTACGAAGTTCGCTGGGTCAGCTAGTCTTATATATAAAATTCTCGTGTCACAATGTTAGTTGCCATACTCCTCCGAAACGGCCAGACCGATTTTTATGAAATTTTATATGCATATTCAGTGGGTCTGAGAATCGGCTACTATCTATTTTTCATATCCGAAAGTGATAATGGTTGTCCACCTGTAACGTAGTGTTCTGAAACCTACAATGCGGCTTCGCGCCAAAATTCAAGCTATTGGGTTTTTATTGTAACGTAGTGTTCTCATATGGGTTAGGAGGAATGTTATCCCAGGAAAGTGATAGAACACTACATTACACACCCATTTTAGGACATATTTATTTTTTTATAATATGGTATTAAAAAATACATACAACCCTAAATTTGGCTTCTTCCACCTGCCCCTATGTTTATGGCGGTAAGAAGTTCGCTGGGTCAGCTTGTATTCATATAGATTTATTGTATTCTTGCTGTTTACATGCTGTTACATTTTTTTAAATAAGCGCTTAATTTCTAGATCTTTGAATCTAAAGAAAATTTTACTAGAAAAAAAAACCACGCGGACCAGGCACCAGACGGGACTCAAACCCGTCCCCATCGCTATCCGGGCGAATGCACTGACCAATTATGCTACCGCGGCCCTGACGGCCGTGTCGATTTTTCCCTAACCTTTCTTAAACTGCAAGGCAGCGCCATCTCTTCGCATTGTAGGTAACCCACAAAAAATGTAATTCCAAACAAGAACACAGTTAGGGTATTGCAATAAAAGATTATTTGACAAGTTTAAAAAAAATATCTCACGTTATTTATTATTGTTAATGGCAAACACAAAAAGTAGATATTCATTAATCTGTTGTGTATTTTAGTAAAAAAAAATCATTTTCAAGTTGCCGCGAAAACGTTTCTCTGGACAATAAGGCGTTACATAGAGATAAACAATAAATGTATTCAGAAGATATAAAGTGTACATCGTTTACGATTAAATATAATAATTATAATCTCAAAATCGAATATTCTGTAGTAGGCCACGGTTCCTCAAGTTGTCCGTATTTCAACAAATGCCTAATGAGAGTTTATGAATGATTCCGAACACAACTAGCATTTTCTCATTGCTGTGCGTTTGGGGCATTCAAGATATGGGAGAAGAGCAGGGAATACGTAACAGACAGATATACTTTCCAATTTATTTTATTGGTATGGGTAACCATCTGCTTCTGCTTTTTAGGGTTCCGCACCTAAAAAGGAAAAAACGGAACCCTTATAGGACCACTTTGTTGTCCGTCCGTCTGTCAAGACCGTTTTTGTCAGGAACGAGTGGAGATATGTATCAAATTGAATACTACTAATACTAATACTCATGTCTACTGTCCCTTGGAGGAGCTGTGAAAAAATCAAACTTCTAAGCAAAAGCAATCAAAACATACAGCCGTTTATGCCGCAATTTTTCGAAACTCCCACGGGAATCAAAACCTACAGGGTACTTCCCGTGAACTTAGAATCTTGAAATTTAGAACGAAGTAACGTCTTATCTATATATATAAAACTCAAAGCTTAGGTGACTGACTGACAGTAATCTATCAACGCACAGCCCAAACCACTGGACGGATCGGGCTGAAATTTGGCATGCAGGTAGATGTTATGACGTAGGCATCCGCTAAGAAAGAATTTTGATGAATTCCACCCCCAAGGGGATAAAATAGGAAATGAAAGTTTGTATGAAACTTTGTCAATTTTAAACTGATCGGGCTGAGACTTTGCATGCAGGCATAAAAAGAATCATAGGTGAATGTCATTGTGTATAATACAAGCCTGAGAACAAAAACTGTAGTCTACACTTCAGCTCTACACCGAGAAGCGAAGCGAGGGCGAGCCGCTAGTAGTACGTATAATAGAAACTTTCGGAAAACTGTAAAGTTTTAGTTACATCATATAATAAAAAATATTTTTGAAAATTCAGGTTTGTACATCCTAAACCTAATAGCCTTCCTAGAGGCTCCCTCAAAAATGGTCCTTCTCAGGACACTCAGACAAGAAATATTGGATACCCTGTGCGCGTATTTTGTAGCTTAACATAGAAGGGCCATCCCAAAACAAATGTCCAAACTGGCTCATGAATAAAGGACTTCAACGAATTGACGGCTGCGGAAATAGAATGGCTGAAAAACTTAAAAATCGAGGTTAAGGATACGCTATGTTGAGGGCATCATGGGCATATGGATTATATATATATACTAGCTGTCCCAGCGAACTTCGTACCGCCATAAAAAAAATGGGGTTGGTAGTAGAAGGGTGAAAATTTAGGGTTGTATGTATTTTTGAATGATGTATCATAAAAAAAAATCTTAAATAAAAAAAAATTTAGGGGTGTACCCCTAACATTTAGGGGGATGAAAAATAGATTACATCCGATTCTCAGACCTACTGAATATGCATATAAAATTTCACGAAAATCGGTCGAGCCGTTTCGGAGGAGTTTAACCACAAACACCGCGACACGAGAATTTTATATATTAGATATATATAAATCTATGGCCTTAGCTCTGTAATGACAGCTGAATCGATGGCGAAAATAAAGCGCATCACACACACACACGGTCGCCCGGCAACCGAACACGTATACAATGCATTGTTGCAAGGACGAAGTAATTTCATTCTAAGTACCTAATTACTAAGAAAATAGGTTAATACTAATCGTTTTCAAACTTATGTACCTACTTCAATAGTTTAGTTTTATTCATAATTAGATATTTATAACATAATTTATTGAAGTAACTAAGGAAATTTGTAAGGTCTCGTAATTTTGCATTAACAACGTACATACGCCAATAGGGTATCTGACAAGTTTTAGAAAACGTTCTCACGTTATTGACTAATGTTTATGGAGTCCGTAAAAAGTGGATATTCATCATTCTGTTGTGTATTTCAGTAAAAATAACCAGATCAAAAATTCCATTTTCAAACTGCCGCGAAAACGTTTTTCTGGCCAATATGGCGTCTTACTAGTGTGTGGCGTCACACGACTGTTATTAAAACGTCAAACGATACAATGTAATGGCAATTTAACCGGAAGTTTACTTGCGTGTGACGTCATTTTAGGCTCCGCCAATCCCAAGCGTTTTAGGTCACGTGACAATAGATAAGAAAACTATTATCTTATTCTTGGGTTTTTAGTAAAATTATGATTTTTTTTTGTAAAAATAGTAAAAACCCCTGCCAATATAACCCCTGCGCACATGCATTCTAAACACAGATGCTAACAATTGGCATTTTAATACTGTCAAATACCCTATTTTAACGTCCTAGTCATTTAATTTCGACGACCTCCGTGGCCAAGTGGTTTGTACGCCACATTTCAAGGTGTGGCCTATTCGAGAGGTCCTGGGTTCGAATCCCGGTGGGGGTAGATGTTTGTGTGATGAATACGAGCATTTGTACTCCAGTCACGGATTTTTAATATGTATTTCTATATAAATATACTTGTATATGTATGCTGTCCGTTATATCGCAAAGCGATGGCAAAATTTTTAGTAAAATTTAGCCTCTATAGATAACTAACAAAGAATGAAACTTTTGTAATTTTCAACTAGTAAAAATAAATTGATGTATTTTAATAGTATCATACAGATTATACAAAAAGCGAAGGAGAAAATGTTTAAAATTTCACTGTGGCATCATCGCGAATAACGAGGTCAGAGCCGCTAATAGTTGTCTGTGAGCCGGAGACAGTTCGGCTCTGGCTTACAGAATCGGAAGGCCTAGTTGGCCTTCCGATTACTTGGCTCTATTTTTCTACGTGTCGTCGATAAACTACTGCAACCTGAATATAAAACGTAGACTAAAGTTAAACCTGGAATAAAACTGATTCTAAAACCAAGACAAAGACAACATTAGGTTTAAACCAAGACCAACTTTTTTAATTCGCGTTTTGTACTACGGTTGTAAAAATGATCCAAATGGAGGTTTTAAACAAGTGTTGTCATACTCTTGAATAAGTAGACTTATTATAAATTATTGTAGCTTTAACCTTAAATTTTTAACAATCCTAGATACCATATTAACTGCACGGAAGCGGACCAAAAAATATCTACTACATAATATAGTAAATACCCTTGTCGCTGTACACGCACTTCTATGTTCCGTATGTACAATGTTCTGTGTGGTAGACCAAAAAAGGTCCGATACATTGAGATATTTCGTAATATAGCTCTCACATTGATATCATTTTAAATTATAGCACATTATAATATTGAGATTGAGAGAAGGTTATTTTTACATAACTGCCCAAAAAGAAGTGTAACATTGGTCAGTGCATTCGCCCGGATTGCGAAGGGTGCGGGTTCGAGTCCCGTCTGCTGCTTGGTCCGCGTGGATTTTTTTCTAATTATATTTTCTTTAGATTTAAACATCAAGCAGTTACATGCTTAAAAATTTAAAATTATAAGTGCAACATTTTTATAAATTTATTTATTTTTATTTAAAACCAGCATAATGGGTACAATTTCGTATTGTAAGTTTACATAAACTGTTTTGTGTGTTTTGACGACCTCCGTGGCCGAGTGGTTTGTGCGCCGGGTTTTCATGGTGTCGCCGACTCGAGAGGTCCCGGGTTCAAATCCCGGTGGGGGCTGATGTTTGTGTGATGAATACGAGCATTTGTACTCCAATCATGGATGTTTAATATGTATTTCTATATAAATATACTTATAAATGTACCATATATGTATTCTATCCGTTACCCTAGTATCCCATAACACAAGCCTTATTATAGTACTTACTTTGGGGCTAGGCTACTAGGTGTGAGTGTTTACAGTATCAATGCCAGTGGAAATTAGAATAACAGCCATTAAAGAAAGAAAAATAAAATTAAAAGGAAATTAACTTAACCTTACTCGTAAGTACAGAGCAACAGCATGTTTTCTATTTTTTTTAAAAACACAAATTAATGTCCACAAATAAGTGACTGAAAGCCAAACAATCGTGTACAAAAATTTTCCGGAACTTCATCCGCTATCGCTTCCTCTGTTTTCCTTTCACAAGTCAATAAGTTAATAGACACAATTGTGTCAAGCTCCATCAATGGACAGCTCAGATTGCGGTCAACCGGAGAGATATGCCGGCTCTGGCTCATAGATAAGTAGGATTTATCGGCTCTTGTTTATCTGTACTGATGATAAACAGATTCAATTCAGCTGTATTCTGTATAGGGCGCGTGTTAATGTTTTTATTTACATTTAATGTTATAAACCTGAATAATTATGGATCAGGTGGAAGATTGAAGAAGCGAGACTATCTAAAGATGATTCGTAATTCGCATAAAGATGAAATTATATTTTATTTGCCTAATTCTCAATACGAACAATCGCGGGGATCACGCGCATGTCATTAGATATGCAGGTGGTCATTTACAGGGTGTCCCACGGCCATACCACATGGAGAGAAAGTATATAAAATTATTGAACCTAGGATATTTTATATTATTTGTTTTTGAAGCAAATAGCTGCTAGATGTTTAATTTGGAAATATGAAAATAAATGCTATTTTTTCTTTCAAATGTTTAATACTTCAACGGTTAAAACGTACGTTTAATAACGGTTTTCATTTGACCTTGTGCTACAACTACAATGTAAAGAGATGGCGGTGCTTTGCAGCCTAAGACTAGAGAAAATTCGACACGGCGATCAGGGCCACGGTAGCATAATGGTCAGTGCATTCGCACGGATAGCGAAGGGTGCGGGTTCGAGTCCCGTCTGCTGCCTGGTCCGGGTGGAATTTTTCTAGTATAATTTTCTCTAGGATATTTTACTGAAGGGAGACATTTAATGATTAAAACAACAACAACAAAAACATCGAGTTTTTAAACAGACGACGCCGTTTGTAAAACGCGGAATCATACAAATAGCCAGCGACGTATCCATTTCGTCAGTCAGCCAGACTGAAACTCAACTTGTCAAATACGCAGTTCTATAAATTACCATTTTAATAGAGACGCAGTTTGTCAGACACGCAACGCAACTGATACGCATCTCGTCAGATATTTGTGAATAACATCGTTTGTATATTCTGTAGGCTTGATGCTTTCGGTTGGTATTAAAGAATGCCGAATTATACAGATTGCCGGTACCATAATACAATCAAAGATACGTTTCTCACCTTCATCGATGTCCGGCGGCAGTCCCCCGACGAACACTTTCCGACTGAATCGCTCCCCGTGCTCCGAGCCCGCGGACACGGGCGACGAGCGCGCCGGCGAGCCCAGCGCGCTCACGCACATCGACAGACCTGAAACCATCGCAATAGCAATGTTTACTACAAACCATGAGGTCCTAAGCTGCGTTAAAGGGCAGCATGGAGCGGACACGTCCGTTCCATGGGCAGTTTGGTGTCATTTCATAATGCCTGCCCACATCTTGGACGACCTCCGTGGCCGAGTGGTTTGTACGCCGGGTTTTATGGTGTCGCCGACTCGAGAGGTCCCGGGTCCAAACCCCGGTGGGGGCAGATGTTTGTGTGATGAATACGAGCATTTGTACTCCAGTCATGGATGTTTAATATGTAATTCTATATAAATATACTTATATATGTACAGTATATGTATTCTATCCGTTACCCTAGTATCCCATAACACAAGCCTTATAGTGCTTACTTTGGGGCTAGGCTAATTGGTGTTAGTGTTGAAAATATTTATTTATTATTTATCTTCATGTCACGACGTCCAACGTGAAACACCGCTAGCGTTGCACGGTGCGTTGACGTCACGTGCAAATCTGTACCCTTAGCATGAACCATCATCCAAATGAATTAGATCTAAATGTGTACTGATTTTTAGTTCTCGTTACGTCCGTTGTGGCACTGCTGTTCAAGTTTCCATACAAAATTTAAGAATAACATTTCGCACTCGCAAACGTAACGAATTTCATATTGGGTCGTGCTAAGGGTACTGATCATAAAATTGCACGTTACGTCAATGCACTGTGCAATGTTACCGGCACCGTTTCGCGTTGACATCATGACGTGGAGATGTGGACAGGCCCTATCTTGGGGCCAAGAGGGCGATGGCCCGGGGCAGCACTCTGCAAGGGGCAGCTACAAGAGCTGTGAGAGGCGGCAGAAGTCACAGAAAGGCCTATATTTTGACATGGTCCTGCTACTGGTGGGACTAGAAGGTAATAACTAATTTCGACCTATGCATAGAATAAAGTTACATATGAAAATGTTATCAAATTACTTTAATTATACTTTTAGGCGAAACGGACGGAATAACGGAAATAGCAATTGAATAAAGGTACATGTGATTTTTGTTTCTGAAGAATATAGAGTCAAGAGCACTAGTACCTTTTGGATAGGCAAGAAAGCAGCCTGCACGGCTTCAATTTTGTTACAAATAGACTTTTACTAAATGATTGATTCTATTTTTCTTATTTGCCATTTTATCATAATTTGACGTGACAGGACATACACATTTTGTAAAACAAAGTTATATCTTCACATAATATTGACACGTTTCCCAAGCATAAGGTCTGATATGCATATATAACAAAGATGTCCGTAGTAAATTGTCACATAATCACATAAGATACGCTTAAATAACAAAATATGAGCCGTAAATGTAGTTTTTTTTAAACAATAAATGCCTCATAATATGCTTCTCAATGCTTTATATGATTGGTTAAAAAAATCAAATGCTAGAAAAATACCAATACAAGTTAAAGCAAATTTTACATCTTACAAACTTCAAATCGCTCTACTGTAAAGTAGGGATTATGCAGAAGTAGCTTTATTCTATGGATAGGTAGATTTATTAAGGCCCACTCGCAGCAATTTTGCTAACTCTCGATTTAACATAATAAACCAGATTTAGGCCATTCAAGAATATCAAATTGACACTGACGCTCGTTTTTGGAGCTAAATCCAGTGCTAGTTAAAATCGTGATTTAGCAAATTTGCTACAAGTGGGCCTTAAGTTTTACTTAAGCTCCTATGTAATTCGGAAATCTCGTCAAGACGTTGGTTGGTCTCGGATGCATGATAGCCTGTTTATGTTCCAACAGTACCCATGCGCTGCTATCGTCTCCGCGTTTTGTTCAGCGCTAGTTACGTGCCGCGACCTGTACAAGCCTTCCCTGTGGCAAGAATTAGAGGGAGTCTAGGCCATGCTCGAGCAAATACAGTGTTTCTTGATAGCATTGTTTATCAAAAAGTTTACAGAATATTTTACATTAGTGCAGCAGAAGTAGCTTCTACATATTTTTCACACTTTTGTCGAAGACTTTCTGCTAGAATCAGCTTTGGGATTGAAGTATCTAGTCAATTCATTCGAGTTTGCGAGAAGCAGAAATGTTTGGCCAGCCAAGGAAGTCCAATGAGTGACTGGTTTGCCTGGACAATGTCAGCAACTTACCAGCAGCGCTGAGCCTCGTCACCACGTCCTGGGCGTAGTCGAGCCCCACCGGCGACCGCGCCGCCCGCGCATGTCGTCTCCTCCACGCTGGGGAAGAATGGCGACTTGCCTGGACAATATCACCAACTTACCAGCAGTGCTGAGCCTCGTCACCACGTCCTGAGCGTAGTCGAGTCCTACCGGCGACCTCACCACCACACCGCCCACGCTTGTCGCCTCCTACACGCTGGGGAAGAATGGCAACTTGCCTGGACAATATGCCCAAATTACCAGCGGCGCTAAGCCTCGTCATCACGTCCTGAGCGTGGTTGAGCCCTACCGGCGACCTCGCCACCGCTCCGCCCGAGCCTTTCACCTCCTCCACGCTGGGGGAGGAATGGCGACTTGCCTGGACAATGTCAGCAACTTACCAGCAGCGCTGAGCCTCGTCACCACGTCCTGGGCCTGGTCAGGCTCCCCCGTTGCTTCCTCCATCCCCAGAAAGAATGGCGACTTGCCTGGACAATGGTTCCAACTTACCAGCAGCGCTGAGCCTCGTCACCACGTCCTGGGCCTGGTCGGGCCCCGCCGGCGACCCTGCCGCCGCGCCGCCCGCGCCCGTCGCCTCCTCCACGCCTGGGAAGAATGGCGACTTGCCTGCAGACAAACAAATGCCATGTTAGTACCCGGTTCATTCATCATCATCATTATCATATCAGCCGAGAGACGTCCACTACTAAACAGACCTCCCCTAAGGAACTTTAAACCGATCGGGCTTGCGCTACCCGCATCCAGCGGCTTCCCCACAAGGTGGACCGATGATCTAGTAATCCAGCGAATCAATCCAGTCCAGTACTGGATTACATCGTTCATTAATGTTTTGTCCTGTCCTTTAAAACTGTTGAACTGAGGCTTAGTACGAATTTTGTCAGCTCCGTAATCATATTCTATGAGAACGTAAGAACAAACTAGTTTTTTCCATACAAATTTTGAATAAATAATAAATTTCGACTATGCCTCACGAATTGTAGCAGCGTGGTGGGTCATAGTCCGTTATTCCTATTCCATCTATCGGGAAGGCCTGTGGAAACAGTGGCACATACTAAAGACTGCAGTTGTTAAATTCCCACGATAGAAGAACGAACGCTCTTATCATTTCACCATCGATTATCTGTTATTAACACTACAACCAACTTTGAAGAACATTTTAATATGAGTGCCGGGGAAAACAGCGACTTGCCTGCAGAAAAACAATATGCCATGTGATACTACGATCGAAGTACGAGTAAATGAGGTATTTAAATCAGACGCCTCTGTGTTCCAACTGCTGGGGCACAGGACTTCCCTATGCTATTGGAAGGAATAGGTTTAATTGGTAAAAAATAACTTTCTTACGACAGAATGTGGTACTGTTACAGGCTCTACAATATACATCTAGACTGTAGAATGGCTTTGTTAAGTGTAATTAATTAATCTGAACACATTTAAATAGATGTCTATGCATAAAAGTACCAGTGTTTATCAAACGTTAACGAGTTTCCGATATTTCGGTACTGTTACTCCGTGATAATGGCGCTTGCAACAGTGCCGAAATATCGGAAACTCGCTAAAAACAAGGTACATGGTAACAATGCCGTAAATAGCAAAAAATACTATGGTGTTAGTGACTATAAAAGTTTAAAACTATATACCCGTGTTTAGTTCATAATTCTCATCAAAATAGACTTCTAAAAGCTTCTTTATCTCAGAGAGGGACAATGACATCGCATACAATATACATTTTTTCTACCAATTTTGTGCTGACATCGAACACAGGATACATTTTTTCTATCAATTCCGTGTGCCTTTCCTTAGGTATCCCGGTCCATTCTCGCTAGTGTTGTTGGTAAATTTTGTCCAGTAACAACAGACTACGAGTCTCGTCGGCAACATATTTGGCATCAGGCCAGCGCGTCATTTGACTGACGGTAGGTATCATTCACGAGTGTTACGCAACGTAATGTGTAAGCTTTGTGGAATGTCAATGATCTTTCTATTCCATGGGGGAATGTTGACAAATACATGGGACCACACTGTGGTAGTTAAATGGGGAATTGATAAACAACAGTTTGGAATACCTGATTGAGACGTCAAAGTTTATTCAGTGCCGCAATATCATTAGCCACAGAATTAGACAGCAAAACAAATTTGAATCATTGCCGCGTCTGCGTTGGAAAAGTTGGTTATCGCTGTGGAAAAAGTTTAGATATGAAGTATAAGACTTGATGATAATAAAGTATCATTATATCAAACTACATCGCATAGAAAGCTTGTCCAATTTCCGAAAGACTGCACCGAATTGGATTAGATAAGGCTTCTTTAAAAGGATTTAATTTTAAAGAAAATTCAGCAAACCAGATGCGCCTCAATTTATTACACAACAAAATCTCAATTTGTCATCAATTTATTGCACCGCGCGTGGCACCGCATATATATATATTCTTATTCATTCGTTTTTTTGTAATGTATTTATCGGTTGTTCCTTGACCCTTTCCATTATTTAAATATATTTTCTTAATTAAACCCAGTTGCGTTCCTCAATATAAAAAAACTATGGATAGCGATTTTCAGTTAAATACCTTTTAACTTTTTTTTATCGACAGCGACGGATACCAAATGTATGCTTAGCTGAATATAAGCTTAAATAGCAGACGAAGTTTCTTATTGGCCATGTAATTTGTCCTCAAGTCCGCTGGCTCTTTATATAATTTGCGTCTGGGTGGTAACTGCTCCTATGGAGCTATGAAAGTGTCTGGATGCATGCCGTCGCTTTTATTTCAGACATTTTTGGATAGAGTGACACGATTTTTGTAGTGTGAAAACGAGGTTCGGGATACACTAGGTGTGATTTTTGAATCAATTCAGATACATAAAAGTCTAAGCAGCATGCATCATTTGCGCAAACAGCAAGTTTTTTCACTAGATATTTCATTTAATCGTTATGAGGTTTTATTGCTTTAGTCACTAATGCAAAATAGGTTATTATTAGCAGAAGAATATAATAAAAAGGTCATGATTCTTATAGAGTAAGATCCCAATACTTTTTGATGTGTTACAGGCACGTAAAAATTTTACTTGCCTATCTTACAGTCTGACGACAATTCCTACACGTATGTTTTAGACAATATTGTAAACAATTTGAAATTCATACTACCAGACACATTTTGCCAGTAGTTTTTATTGTCAGACACTTTTAATGTCGAAAGCAAAAAACACAAACATGCTTATTTCTGCAATAATTTTGATAATGTTTTCATAAATAGGTATAGGTTCATGAAGATCTATGGAGTATTGACAGTGAGTAATGATTCCAACTTGGTCTAAGTTGAATAAGCTTGGAATGACTGGCTTCCATGAGACAGCTGACAAGACAATTAGAAGTTATTTAATTATTCTAAACGACCAGCTACTATTATCCTTTAATGGAAGGCCAAGTAAATAAATAAACTTACCCTAATTATGTAAAAAGGCATGATTATACATATTTTTTTTAAATTTGTAAGTTTAAGCTCAGTGTACCACTTGCCTAACGCCACTGACAGTGCAGCCATAAAACCGGTGCTGCATCGAGCGGTGGGCTGTGACCGCGAGGTCAACAGAGGTTAACACTGACCGAAAAGCACTGACCGTCTACACAGAAAAAAATCCACGAAAATGGATATTTTTTCAGAGATCGAAAGGCGAAGTGATTGGCGTCTTTAGCAACTTCTTGATATTTCCCTTAGAGAAAGTAAATGATATGATCGTTCCCTATTCAGGTGTCAAGTATACACATACAAGTTAGAGGATAGCGGATGTTCCGCTTGAATTGGAACGCCCGTCTGGAGAAGTAACCTCCACCTTTTATAAGATTACTAGCTGACCCAGCGAACTTCGTACCACCATAAAAATAGGGGCAGGTGGTAGAAGAGAAAATTTAGGGTTGTATGTATTTCTTAATACCACATTAAATTATAAAAATAAATATCGTCCAAAAAAAATTTTAGGGGTGTGTAACGTAGTGTTCAATCATTGTCCTGGAATAACATTCCTCCTAACCCATATGACAACACTACGTTACAATAACCAATAGTTTGAATTTTGGCGCGAAGGCGCATTGTAGGTTTCAGAACACTACGTTACAGGTGGACAACCATTATCACTTAAGGATATGACAAATAGATAGTAGCCGATTCTCAGACCCACGGAATATGCATTTAAAACTTCATATAAATCGGTCAGGCCGTTTCGGAGGAGTATGGTAACTAACATTGTGACACGAGAATTTTATATAATAAGATTAAAATAGCATAGCTTTCTTTTGATGGTGTTGTTGAGTAAGGTTCCATGACTCCACGAGGTAGGAATAGGTCGGGTGTTTCGTTGTTTCGGCGCGGTGATGGATGGGCCCGCAGGCCGAAACAACGAACTATTTCTAATAATCTTTTTTTTTCGTCGGTTCGGCCCATAATATAAAAACAAGATGAACAGTAAGAATCACTTGGTGGTTACTATTGAAGTACATTAGAACGCATTTTTGGCATTCGCAACTTCTGCGTAGCTCCCACGCCTCAGCTATCATCAGTTAAGTGTGCCTTCGATCATCTACAAACTGTACATATATCAAATATTCTTATTATTTTATTGTGTACCGAACCGACGAAGAAAAAATATTTTAAACAACTCGTTGTTTCGGCCCGCGGGCCCATACGCGGGACAGAAACGAAGAAAGACCCAATGGGTCGGGGTAGGCATTGGTGCGAGTAATATTTTTATTCACAAGCTTCTGTCTATTATGCTCTGGCGGGCCATATACTGCTTCCCCATCTTTTTAATCTAAACAAACAAGGCGCGTTAGCCAAAGCAAAATTGTACCCGTTTTTTTGTATGTTAAATGGGTGCAAACAAGTGTTTGGGCTAGCCCGCCTGATGGTAAACGACCACCATAGTCTATAGACGTTTGCGATACCAAAACTATCAGTCACACCGTTACCTACACTGACTTATTCTCCTACCCCGTGGAGCCCTGGAATCTTACCCGTCAGAAACACACCACTAAAAGATAATGTTTACTGTGATCTTCTGTAAAGTGGATAGGTCGCTTTCCCATACGGGTAAGCTCCGATTCGAGCGGCAAATCCGCTATAACCCACCCGCTCTTATAGTTTTACAGTTTTTATGGTGTTTCTCTCCCTATGTAAGAAAATCTAGTAAACTGAAGTTCAGTAGCAAACTGAATATCATAACATTATTCATAACAAAAGTAATGGTGTCGATTCTGGTAAGATTCTCTAAATTTAAAACGAAATTCAACATCAGTCTCACCTTTTCATTCTGCATAGAGAATGACAAGGATACACTGTTGTCAAATTAAGTTTAGGTTCATAGAATCATGTCAGAATCGAGACCAGCAGTTTAGGTAGAGTACCTAAAAGTTTTTATTGTCTTTTTCAGTGATATTACAAATCGGTGGATCGTATCTTTCGTATCCGTGACCACTGGGTCAGTTATAGTGTTGATTGAGTTAGTGGCTTAAAGAAGTTTTTTCGGCGCGTTTTTGCCGCTTCGAGTTTGTGGCTGTGTGAAGGCAAAGCAAAAAACGGACTGCCATCTAGGTGGCCATGCTCCATTTATGAGCGAACACAACCAATGGATTATAAACCCGAGGTCTTCTAATAGAAGATAATTCAAATTCA